GACTATGCTTCAGCCCTGGGCTAGGAGGTGGGCAGAGAGCCCAGTAGACATGATCTCTATCTGCAGGAAGCTCAACATTTATCACATAAGCCCAGAACTGAATATAACATTGAAACTGAGGAGTATTTTAAGGGAGAGATATACCAGGCTGTGGCACAAGAGCCATCGAGAGGGAATCTGACCTAGTCAGAGAGGTGAGAGAGGCCTCCTCTGAGGATGAGGAGGAATCAGACGGGCAAGGGGAGAGGACCAGCCATTTTGGGCAGAGGGAACAGCATGGCCAAAGGCCCTGTGAGGACTACTAGAAAAGTCAGGGGAGGGGGATGAAGCTCTCTGGAATAAAGCAGGACATTCTAGGGAGGGGGAGGGGCTGACAGGTGTTTGTTATATCACGACAAAGATTCTTTGCTTGAACAGGCTTTTGTTAGGCTCCTGAACCTTCTAGAATGATCTGTGTATGTCCACGTACAACCCAATTTTCACAAGAATCCTGCTAAGTCCGTTTAGCAAGAACACCCCACCCTCAATATGTGATCACCCTGCATATCTGATTGGGTTCCTCATCCTCCCCTGTCCTCCAGATGATGTCTGATCACCCTGGCCTGTCTTCAGCAAGAGCCTTATTAGGTTGGTTTAGCCAGAATCCCCCACCCATACCCTTGATATTTCCTTTTAGTAATCTTTCATGCATTGACTCCTGCCCTGCTTCTTGGCTATAAATTCTGAGTTGCCCACACTGTATTCGGAGTTGAATCTAATTTCTCCCCACATGCAAGACCCCAATGTGGTGGTCCCTATACCGATCGCAGTGCTGCCTTGCTGTGCTTTAACAAGTATTACTGAATAAGTTTTTTCTTTACCAAATACACTGAACTTTTCAGATTCTTAAATAACAAAAAATAATAATAATAAGTAAAAGAAGTAGTGATGATATCCTGGGAAGAGAAACCAAATTCACTGTGAGCTGGGGCTCTCCAAAGCAAGGAGCAACCTTCCTCGCCCAGGACACTTCATTTCTACAGGGAGCAATTGGAGGGTGTAAGGAGCAGTGGATCCTGGGGAATCCTGGGGTCTGGCCTGGCTACTGGTCTGCTGAAAACTGAGGGAAGTTCCCCCCACCTGCGGTTTTGGGGTTAGGACCCGAGAAGTCACATGGGCACCTCCTCTCCTGGTTTCTGATGTATCCACATTCCCGATCGCCTCTTCCTGGTTGGTCAGGTACGAGCAGGACTTCCCTGCATAGCTCGCTTCTTCTGCCTCCACAGTGGAACCATCATCAAAGCAAGATGAGGCTTCCTCTGCTGGAGGTAGGAGTTATCTACGGTTTTACGCTCTAGGGACCAAATACACTAGATTCCGGCTGCTCCAAGTGTGGTCCCTTGACCAGCAGCATCAGCACCGTGTGGGAGGGAACTTGTTAGAAATGCAGATTCTCTGGCCCCACCCAGACCTGCCAAACCAGAAACGCTGGGTGTGGGTCCAGGAATCTGTGCTTTTACAACCTCTCCAGGTGATTCTGATGTACACCATAGTCTGAGTCCCACGACACTAGATAACTTTCAAATAGCCTCTAGATTTTGAGTTGTAAGTTGCATAAGCACCTTCCCCAACCACCCGTTTTTATTTCGTAGTGCCATGCAGAATTAGAAGTTATATAGTCTTTTGTTTGACTGATTAGTTATTGTCTATCTCTGCTTATTAGACTGTAAGTTTCATGAAGTCAGGAAACATGGATCTGGCCCAGAGTAGGAATTGAAAAGATATTGCTGAAAATAATGAATGAATGAATGAATGAATGTGCCGGGGGCACAGAAACTATTGACTGTGGTATGAATGTGATATGTGACCCTGAACAAATGTCCTGTAGGTTCTAGGCTTCTGGAGCTCCCTCTGTACAGTGCAGGGATTGGCCTAGCTGACCCTTGAAGGCTTTTCCTGCTCTGTCATTTTTAGCCAGGGCTCAGGTTGATGCCTCCCCAATCCCAGCACCAACCATGTCATCTCTCCCCACTTCCCCATCCCAAAGCTTTCTGTGGCTTCTACTTCTTCCTTCTGGACTTTCAGCCTCCACAGCATGGTCTCAACATACTCCTGGCCTGACCTGCAACTCTCGTACCCACAAACGACCCCCTCCCCTAACCGCACTGGGATTCCCCTCCTCAAGCCCTATGTATGTTTTTCCCTCAGCCAGGACACCTTCCCATGGCTTTCTTCCTGCCCTTTGAGATCCAGCCAATACTCCCATCTGGAAGCATTCCCTTCAGCTCCAACAGAGAGAAGTNGCTTCTGGAGCTCCCTCTGTACAGTGCAGGGATTGGCCTAGCTGACCCTTGAAGGCTTTTCTTGCTCTGTCATTTTTAGCCAGGGCTCAGGTTGATGCCTCCCCAGTCCCAGCACCAACCATGTCATCTCTCCCCACTTCCCCATCCCAAAGCTTTCTGTGGCTTCTACATCCTCCTTCTGGACTTTCAGCCTCCACAGCATGGTCTCAACATACTCCTGGCCTGACCTGCAACTCTCGTACCCACAAACGACCCCCTCCCCTAACCGCACTGGGATTCCCCTCCTCAAACCCTATGTATGTTTTTCCCTCAGCCAGGACACCTTCCCATGGCTTTCTTCCTGCCTTTTGAGATCCAGCCAATACTCCCATCTGGAAGCATTCCCTTCAGCTCCAACAGAGAGAAGTCCTGGTTAACACTAGTTTCTAAAAAAAGTTTAAGTACACAGCCAGATTCTAAAGTGAGAAGGGAAGTCTTCAGGAGCCAGAAGCAAGAGAGGACTACTAGAAAAGTCAGGGGAGGGGGATGAAGCTCTCTGGAATAAAGCAGGACATTCTAGGGAGGGGGAGGGGCTGACAGGTGTTTGTTATATCACGACAAAGATTCTTTGCTTGAACAGGCTTTTGTTAGGCTCCTGAACCTTCTAGAATGATCTGTGTATGTCCACGTACAACCCAATTTTCACAAGAATCCTGCTAAGTCCGTTTAGCAAGAACACCCCACCCTCAATATGTGATCACCCTGCATATCTGATTGGGTTCCTCATCCTCCCCTGTCCTCCAGATGATGTCTGATCACCCTGGCCTGTCTTCAGCAAGAGCCTTATTAGGTTGGTTTAGCCAGAATCCCCCACCCATACCCTTGATATTTCCTTTTAGTAATCTTTCATGCATTGACTCCTGCCCTGCTTCTTGGCTATAAATTCTGAGTTGCCCACACTGTATTCGGAGTTGAATCTAATTTCTCCCCACATGCAAGACCCCAATGTGGTGGTCCCTATACCGATCGCAGTGCTGCCTTGCTGTGCTTTAACAAGTATTACTGAATAAGTTTTTTCTTTACCAAATACACTGAACTTTTCAGATTCTTAAATAACAAAAAATAATAATAATAAGTAAAAGAAGTGATGTAGAATTTTTAAAGATTTTCAACAGGCTAACAACAATGTGCTATCTCTGTGTTGAATCTTGGAACAGAAAAGGATATTGGAAAAACTAGTGAGATTCAAATAGAGTCTGCAGTTTAGATAGTAGTAGCATAGCAATGTTAATCTTTTAGTTATAATCAATGTAGCATGGTTATTATGTAAAATGTTAACAGCAGGGTAATCTGGGTGAGATGTGTATGGGAACTCTCTGTACTGTACAACTTTTATTCAAGTCTAAAACTTATTCTAAAATAAAAAGTTTATATAAAAATAATGAAACATCAGAAGGAAATGCCCCAGTGTCCACAGCAGAGATCTCTGGGTTGAGAGATTATCAGTAACTGGCTTTCTTCTTTGTATTTATTTTTTATTTTTTGGCAGCTGGCCAGTACAGAGAGCCCAACTCTTGACCTTGGTGTTATCAGCACATGCTTTCCCAAGTGAGCATACCTTTTTATTTTCTATGCTGTGCCTGCATTACTTTTGTCTTCAGTGTTTAATGCATTAAGAAATATGGAAGATACCCAAAGGAGCATTAGGGATAGCACGGATCCTCAATTTCTTTTTTTTTTTTTTTTTTTTTTTTTTTTGTCTTTTTTC